TCTAATTTCATTAGCTAGGACTTGCAGTATGATGCTGAAAAAAGAGTGGTAAGAAGAGACATCTTTAGCAGGACAGTTTCTGGTTTCTCACCACTTAGTAAGGTGTTAGCTGTAGGTTTTTGTAAGTGTTCTTTATCACGTTGAGGAAGTTCCCCTCTATTTCTGGTTTTCTGTTACACAATATAATTTTAACATAAAAAGCAGTACATAAAGTAGTGCACACAATACCATTCTTATTTTTGTGAAAAATGTATTTTGCCTTGGGAAAAAAATGTAGTCATTTTTGGCTGGCTAATGGGTATTTTTTTGTTCACATACTTTCATATTTTTCTAAATTTGCCCCAGTGAAAAATAACATTATGAAAGGTCATTAGGTAGTCTGGAGAGAATGGCTTTCCGAAGAGAGTGGGGCAAGTGGGGGGTGGGGTGGGGGAACGAAAAATGATTCGAAGCTAAATAAAATGGAAATCTGTGAAGAGAGAGCTGATTTAGCAATGACATCCTCAGTGGGATGTAAGCTCTCTGAGGACCAGGCCTGACAGAGATCTACACAGCATAATAAATCACTTCACTTTGCGTCTCAGCTTTGCATATGAAATGCCATTTATGCATGTGGCATCCTGAGCATGGAACCAGGTTTCTTTCTTTCCAGGTAGTTCTGCTAAGAGGAAGAAGGGTTAAAGGGGAAGATGGGAGAGGGGGAGAGGAGGAGAAAGGTTGAAGTACCGGACAAGTCAAAACAGAGGGGAGGAGGAGCGTCCCAGCCCCAAGGTTGCGGGCGCACCGCTCGGTGCGGGCTCGGGAGCGGAGCGCACACCCCGGAGGCGGGAAGTGGGCAGCAGCGCCCTCGCCTGGCTCCTGCGCGCCGGGACCGGACACCTCCCCGCCCGCCCAGGTGCCTCCAGAGCGCACAGCTGGGAGGGCTCTCCCGGCTCCGCGGCACCCGCGCCCGCGGTGTGCTAGGGCGGCGGCGACGGTGCCAGGCGAGGGCGCGGCGCTGCCTCGGCTCCAGGTTCGCTGCTGCGAGCGCGTGGACCGGCCTGGAGTCGCCGGGCTGAGCCGCCGCTCCGGCACCGAGCCGCAAGCCGCCGAGGCGCTGGGGGACAGACCGCGCGGGCGCGCACAGGCGGCGCGGGGCAGCCGGAGTCGCGCGGCCCCTCGGTGGGCAGCGCACCCACCTCTTTCCGGGTCCGCGGCTGCAGGGAGCTCCGGCCCGCGGCCCCTCCGCTTCAAGTCTGGGAGCTGCCGGCCCCACTCTGCTGTTGCCTATGGGGATCCGAGAGTTTCCCGGCGGCGCACCCAGGGGCAAGAGCATCGCCATGTGAGTAGCGCCCCGGGCGTGGGTGCGCGAGCCGGCGGGCGGGTGGCCCGAGCGCCTTGGTGGCCCTTTGCGGCTGGGACACCGAGCAGTCTGGGGCTCGGGGAGGGGCGGTGCGCGCGGCGGAGCTGCTGGGGAAGTTTAAGTCATTCTGTCCCTTGCCACTCGCCGCAACCCACACTGCCCGAGGCGCCCAGGGTAGGGAAGAACGGGAGGCTGCAGACGCCACCCGACGCCGAGACTGCCGAGGGCGCTGGGGCGGGTGGCGAGCGGCGGGAGCCGAGCAGCCCCGGCCCTGCAGCGCGCTCTGCCCTGGAGGACCCCGGCGCGCCCTTGCTCACCCTCGAATCTGCTGCTCACCGAAATCCCCCCTCTCTGTCCTTGTTCCCCCTGCCCACCCACCTGCCCGTGGCGCCTGCGCCCTCAGTGGCATGAGGAGGTCACCGGACGTCAGCCCCCGGAGACTGTCCGACATCAGCCCCCAGCTCCGGCAGCTCAAGTACTTGGTGGTGGACGAGGCGATCAAGGAGGATCTGAAATGGTCGCGCTCGGTGGAGGACCTCACCAGCGGGCCCGTGGGGCTCACGTCCATCGAGGAGCGGATCCTGCGCATCACTGGCTACTACGGCTACCAGCCCTGGGCGACGAGCTGCAAAAGTAAGACCCCCTCACGTCATTTCCCTCGCCCACTGGTCCGTCCGCTTAGCGCCGTCACCGCGGGCTGGGGGAGTGCACGCCGCGAGGTGTCCAGCCTCCGGCTCCTGCCCAGCCCGCTCGCACAGACCCAGCTTTGAGCAACTTTGAGGAAGAGGCCTGGCGATGGAGTTCTCCTGGACTTCTGGGGCTTTCCGATCCAGTCCCTTGAACCCTTTCTGCTTCCACACACACCTCTCTATATCCTTATCCCCCCATCCTGAGGTGTCTCAGTATGGGGGCCCCTCCTGTGTGGCCCACTATGGGAACAGATCAGAAACTCAAAAGTATCCTGGGCCGTGTAGCTTCCCTGCGGATCTGGAAGTGTTGCAGGGCCCTGGGTAGGGGCTCAGCGGGCTCAGCTGGAGAATGCAGACCCGGGCGGCCTGGGTTTTAACTCTTCCCTGTGCCTGCGACCCTGGTGATGGAGGGCAATTCTTGGGGCCTTCATTTTAGATCTCATTCCCTCCCTCAGCCTCTGGACTTTATTGATCCTCAGTGATGAGGTTCTGTATGGATCATTTTAGATATTGGCATTGGTCCCTGTGAGATGAGTGCTGAAACGTTTCTTTGCTGGTGGACCTCAGCTGATGGCTTTGGTGATGCTGTGATCAGTTATACAGATGTTACTTATCTGACCAGTACTAATTTGGTTGACATCTCTTTCTTCATTTTGGAAACGAGAAATTGGTGATAACAAACTCCAGATATCTGTAAATATAACCATAATTTGATGGTCTGATTACTATAGTTTGACATAAGAGATTATTTACTATCTCAGTATAAGAAATGGGCCTTGAGTTATTTCATTTGTAGTAAAGACTAGCCTAAGAGCTTGATGCTTTTGAGATTTTTTTTTTTAACTTTTTATTGCTTAAAATTGGAACATACGTTATTGGTCCTTAGGGGGGAAAATCAGGCTTGTGTAATTTAATCATATTAATCACCAAAAATACGTCTAGATTATTCCTTAAAACCTCTGAGTCCAAGCCAAAGGTCAGTGGTATGCTAGCAGTTAGCTGGTTAGTTTTAAGTTATTTGCAGGAAGAAACACAGAATTTGAATGTTTTGTTTCCATGCCCTGACTTGATTTTAAAAGTCTGTATTGATTGCATTTAACTAGGTATAAGCCTTTAAAAGATTATCTGTGTCTCCTCCAATCTCCTGCCTCTGCTGCTAAAATTGTAGCTGATAAATACCGGCTTTAGATTACAGAAGGAAAACAAGGGACCATGTTCTCTATTTGAGTGAAAAACACAGGGCATAGGATAACAAAAATTAAAAGCCATTGGAAACCATTTTTCTTATGGGTATGGATAGGACACTCAATTTTTATTCTGCTTTCTAAATTTCTATTAGAAAATAGCAATTTTCCATTTCTTATTTCCATTTTCTGCCTTTTAAATAACTAAAGACAGTGGTACAAACTACAGCCTTCATGGAGTTGTCTCTTTAGCCTCTGAAGTCATAAAAAGATTTATCTTTATGATCCTATTTGTTACTGGCTCTCTGTGCTTTGTGGAAATTAGCACCAGCGTTTGTGATTTCAAGGGTTGGTGGTGAGCTTACACCAGTGATGACTATTTGGTACAAATATACTTTGTAATTAAGACAGAAGGGCCATACGGAAATAGAGTCCCTTACATCACCAGTGGCATTCTTAAATACCCTCTCTCTTCGGCTTCATTGAAAGAGTAAATATTAGCAGATGAGACTACAGCGATCATTGTAATATTAATAAAATCAGCTCATTCCATTCTCTGTGTTCCTGTGAGGATTCTTCTTTAATCCGAGGTATTTCCTTGTTACCTAAAGGAAATGCTTTAGGTGACAACTGACATTTTGATGAATTAATTAGATTTTAAGTTTAAATTTAGAAAAGCTAAATGTTTTATTAATGTAGCAAAAGAGATTTTTTTTTTTTATTTCAGCATATTATGGGGGTATAGATATTTATGTTACTTATGTTGCCCTTGCCCCCCCCC